AATGACTCCCCCCAGTCACACTCAGAATGCTGTTGCTATAAACTCCCCCACATAACCAGGCTCGGGTGCCTTAGATAGCTTCACATATTCTGGGGATTATTACACTCTCTTCTAGTCCTATGGGCCAGTGAAGCTCACATATTTTTGTTTTCTGCTACTCATTTTTATTTTCTATTTTTTACTTATTTAAGCAGCTTCCTGTATTCTGCTTTCCTTCGTACCCATTCAGGATTGCAGATCTTAATAGCTCCTTTTATGGGACTATATGTGGTGTGGTTTTGTGTGTTTGTAATACTTATGTTTGTTCCTTTTAATATACTTCAGTAAATTGTATATTTATATCTTGTCGTACAAACCTGCAGGGACTTTATTGTGTCCCCTGGACTTTATGTCCACAGGCCACTTCAGTATACTAGTTTGCAATTTTTAGGGTTACCCCCTTTAAAGTTCCATTGACACACTGTAGGTCTCACCTATGGGACAACGTTTTCTTCTTTGTTTTAAATGTGAGCATTTTCAAAGTAAGTGGATACTTATGTATAAATAGATCATTTAGAAAGTTACATCTTCCTGATACATTGTTAAGACTGGGGCATCAGTTTAGCCTTAGAACATCTTTTGATTACTGATTAAACAGCATGTTGCTTTAGAACATCATTATTTAGGCTAAAATACATTAGCAAAAATATATAGTTACAGTTACACAGTTCTGCTATTTAAATCCAAATTTGACACAGTTATTCACTAAAGTGGGAATGCAAAGATATCAAATTTCAAATTTAAGGTGAAAGTAGATGAATTGGAAGTGCAGCTGAATACATAAATCTTTCCGTTTCAGCTATTGTGATCTTAAATTTATAATTTGCTTTGTAATCACTTTAAGTTTTCAAAGTGAAATTCATTTTGAATACTCACTTTAGTACAATTTGTTAATTCGCAAATAAGCACATCTCACTATTTAGTAGATCAACCCATTAATTTAGCATTTACATGAATTGCTCTAATAACAAACAGTAAAAATCTTACTACACACAATTTGTTCAATCATATATTGTACCCCATACTTAAGAAAATCTGAAAATTTGCAGTCTCCTCCCAAGACCAACATACATTTACTTACCATTGTAAAGTAAGCTGTGTTTGTTTTTTTTTATCCTTAATGATCTGTGTGATAGATTTCTTCTGGGAAGTCTTGTCAGATAAAGCTGCATTTTTACTGTAAATAATATCTAACTCCTCATCTTCTGATGAAAAGGTCTCGGTGGAGAGGTGAATCTCTGACAGTTAAATAGTAAGAAAAAAAAACATATTACTAATTATCTGAAAAATATAGACCAAATTACAAGTTATTCTTGCTTTTATTAATATGTTTTAGACTTGCATTTTAGTTATTTAAATGAAAAAAGAACACATTTAATTTTAATGTCTTTAATGAGAATTTAATGTTACAAATATGGGACAGGTGAACAAATGAAAGTCAGGAGAACTGAACATTTTTTTAGTTTATAATCAGCACAGTTATCTAGTTTGCATAATGTTATCATTCCTCATGTATGATAAAGCACATGTGATAAGGTTCATTATTTTAAATAATAATAACACAGATTGTGCCATACTAACCTGTTTTTATCCCAAGGCCTGCTGATGTGTCTTCATCTTCTGGTGTTAACATTATAGCATCTGGTGCTTCCATACAGAGTTCTTCTTGTGAATATGAAAGCAAATCCTTTCCTACTACTGTTCCATAACAATCCTCCATCTGTGAGGATAATCGTTGGCAAGATTCTACATTTTCGAATGGACAATCTTCTTCTTGTGTCTCCGAAAACCTCTCAATTGGCATTTTTCTTTTAGATGAAAACTCCCAAATGACCATCAAAGATAAAAATTCCAGGATCTGCTGACAAGTTTATTCCAAAGGTTGTTTAAAGATCATCCCAAATTTATAATATGAACGGCCCTGTATAAAATAAATGATGCAATAAAATAAAAATGCTGGTGTTAGTTCATGTTTATGTTAGTTGGCCACAAAAGAATTTGGAAACTAATTCCAGTAAAATTTAGAATAAGATATGAAGAAAATTTAAGGTGCTTCTGGACAATGACAGGACATTCTGGTCTGACAATTCCATTCTAAGTGGTTTTACATCATTTGGTATTTTAAAGAAAGTCACTAAACACACCCTTTTGTTGGCATAGATCATCTATCAAATGAAAGGCAGTTGGACGTCAGTATGCTGGTGTCTAGTATCCCAGATGCTTTTATTTTGATAAAAAAGTCACTTAGTGGGAGAGTTAATCACATTGGATGTGACGTTGCAGCAATGAATTGGTTATCTGTTGTCTCAGTAGGATAAAAAAAATGGTGGTGATCAGATCCACCACATTAATGATTAACAGATTGGAACAATCATCTGTGATTGTGTGAGTCAAGCTGATGTTTGTTTATTGTGTGTTTCCATATCTGGAACTCTGTGGGTAAACCAGTGACACAGCTTTTGCTTCTTGGTTAAATAAATAATGTGAGTGTTCAAACAGTATATTTTTCCAAAATAAATACGTTAATAAAAAATAACAACTCTTTAGAATATTGCAAATTAACACTGACATTGCTAGATAAAATATTTTGCTGTATTTTAGAAATATTAATAAAAAATTTAAGCTTTAAAGAAAGAGAGATCATAAATACAAAAGGCAGTTGGAATTTTATGATTGGGACAACAGAATCAAACAAAAACATCAACTAAAACAGAGAATATTAGAACTCTAAGAATGGACAAAAGCTGAGAGAAACTCAATAGTTTGCCATTCATTAAATCCCTGCTCAGGTCTCAAATATTTTTGCTCACTTATGCCATTAGAGAATGAACCAATACCACTTGCATATCAGGCTGATCTCACTTATAAGGGCAGTCCAGAACCAAGATTCCAGTAAGTTCTTTCTGGATGAGAATACAGCAACCCTGGATGATCATTTAGGTCTTCTTTGGACCTCGTCAGAGAGGTTTAGCTGATACCCTTCTATGCACAGGAAGCATGGGGTCCACATATGGATTGCCTTTTTTACTTAGGGAGAAATCTAGCATTGCAACAAAAACAAAGAGCATGAGAAATCTGAGAATGAATAAAAGCTCAGAGAAACTAAATAGCTTGCCATTCAGTAAATCCTCGCTCAGTTCTCATATGCAATTTGTTAGGCCCTCCCTAAGCAAAAATGGTAATCCAGATATCGACCCTGTGCTCGCTGTCCCTAGAGTGGTATCAGCTACACCTTGCTGCCAAGATCCAAAAAGGATAAAACAATAATCCCGAGTTGCTGTATCTCTTATGCAGATAGAAATTACCAGCATTTCAGTTCTGAAGTGCTCTTATTGGTTGGATCAGTCTGATATCCAAATGGTGCAGGTTCTCTTTGTGTAGTGTTACTTAACCGATGCGCGAGCTGGCCAAGGTTCTCCAGTATTTGGTCCATTGGAAGAAAGTATTAGGAGTGCAGTTGGGTTTCTGCATGTGATATTCATGCCCCTCATCTTCTAAGTACATTTGACTCACGTTTTCCTGCCAAGCCTGTTCCTCCCTGCCTAGTGGGCGTGCCTTCAGGGGGTACTGTAGCAATACTTACCTGATCCACAAGCCGGCCAGGGTCCTCAGCATGTAACTCAAGCACTCCTGCCTCCACACAAGCTGCGTGCTGCTCGATCACTTCTCCTGAGCAGGCTGCGTGTGCCAACCTTAATGAAAGGTCGCGTGGCCCGCCTTGTATAATTAAGAGTGCTGCTCATGTCACAAGCACACTCCTAAAGGGACAATGGTAGCCCCAAGTAAATTCCAGCTCCCATTGGTCAATATCATTCTGCCACCCACATGCACCCAGGTTTTGGACCAATCTAATGTGGCACTGTACACTGTGCCCTATTGTGGTTTCTGTCCCAGTAGCCTTTAGTGCGTTCCTTGTTCTCTTGCATATTATTATTCTGGTATTGACCTTGCCTTTTTTACTGACTCTGCTTTATCTTTAACCCTTTCCTGTGTTATTTCCTTTTTTGACTAATTACCGTGTAACTGAGTCTGGCTAGTTCTCGTTTTCGCTGTCTTTCTGTTAACCTGACTTCAGCTTGTTACTGATTACGCTTTTTCTCTGTCTAACATTAAGTCCTGCCATCCTAAGGCCTGGTTACATGTTATTTTCTTGTTTTGTCCCTTGCTGTCCTGAACTCTGCAGGTGTTACAATGTTACTTTACAATAGGGCCATGGATCTTGCAGGTTTAGGACAGCAAATGGCTTCCTTTGAGGCAAGATGTGAAGAGCAAGATCACCTTATGGATCAGATGGCTAAGCCACTACAGATACTTTTGTCCAGAAAAATAAATGTACTTCCTGAGCCATCTGAGCCATACTGAGTTTATAGACACCTCAGACACAGGTGTCTATACTGCCTCAATCCATATATCCTGCTCCAGAGGCATCTAGCCAAAATAATGCATCAGAGCACCTCACACCTCCTCCTAGCTATGAGGACTTGTAGAGGATTTCTGGGGTCCAGTAATTTGCTGCTGAGTTGCACAGTTCTCTGCAACTTTGTAAGGATGCCACATGTTACATCTTGGCTCCAGGCATGAGTACAGGTGAGGTATAATGTACGGTCAGTGCACTGAGTGATACCAGTTGGTTCATCTGCTTAGTTAAATTGACAGAGCAAGAGGGTATACCATGTGCACCCTGCCAACTGTCACCAAAGGTGGATTTCCCCCACCCCAGTTAGCACACCATTGTCAGTACCATAACTGATTATACAATGTAAGCCTGAATTCAACATTACATTCGCAGACAAATGGACAAATTATGGTATTTACCTTTATTTCTGTATGTATATGCATGTGAATATAGTTTTTCTACATCATTGAAAATAGCCAAAAAAAGTGTTTTATTTTATTTATCTGTAATAATAATCATAAGAAGAAGAAAACAAAGATGAAAGTAAAAAAGAACACAAAATAAACTCGACCAATGGTTAATCTTAAATATGATATTATACTAAGGAATAACAAATAAAAAAATAGATATGTCCTTGCTAATTTATGTCAAAAACTATGCATTCTAGTATTTACACGTCTTAGAAGCTCTTACGTCTTCTCTTTACTGTTACTGCTGTACTTCTTCTTTTTGGTTGTAGCTGAGAGATGTTTGTGACCTGAGCTTCTAGATTAGAATCTGTAGGTTGACTTTGCAAGCCTGTGTTTCTAATAGAAAATACTCTTTGTCTAGCCCTATAGAATGCACATACACTTTTCAAGTATAGCTCCCTGTTACAGTTTTTCCTTTTGAACAATATAATGTAACATGCTGGCAAAAGATGACAAAATATAACTCCATATACTGAAGCTAATATGGCTACAACTTGAACAGCTGAGAGATAAATGCCACTTGTATTCATATAAACAGGGATGAAGATAATCCACACAAAGATATATATGAGCATGCTAAATGTAATACTCCTGGCCTCATTATATTTCTCTGGCAATTTCCTACCTTTATATGCTAGAATGAAACAAATTAATGCAAGACATCCAATGTAACCCAACATAATACCAAAAGAAACATAGGACCCTTCGTCACACTGCAGAACTAGGAATTGAGGTATTTTATAATCTTCTAAATAAAATGGTCTTCTTAATATCATCCATAAAACACAAATACAAATCTGAATACCAGTTAGTATAATGATAATAGCCAATGGCGTGTAACTTAGTTTAGTAAACTTCTTTAGTCTGTTGGCTAAATGAAATGCAAAAATGATTCGTAAAGATTTGATCAATATACAAGAAACACAGAGGGTGAAGCTGATACCATAGAGAGGTTGTCTGATCTGACAGAAAGTATGACTTGGTTGACCAATAAAAAAAAAGATGCTTGCCAGGCTGGATAATAAAGATGCTATAATCAGATAGCTGTAATTCCCTCCTGCTGCTCGAACTGGTGGTTTGTTGGAAAATTTAATGAACAAGATTCCGATAGCTAGTAATAGGAGAAGTCCAGAGATTGTGAATGTTATCAATGTGATTGCAAATGGGTTGCTCCATTCCAGATACTGAACAGTCCTGTTTTCACATGTCGAGCTTCCGCTATTTGACCATTCAAAGAGTTGACACTTTGTACACTGAGTCTCATCTATGAAAAAATATATAACAAGTTGTTATTCAATATTCCACAATAATTTATATGTAGAAGTGCAATGTAATATTTATACATGTATTTATTTATACTTGTTGTTATGTTAACAAGGCAATAAGCAATCACCTTGTCTGTTCAGAAAACAGTACACCATGAATTTATATTTTATAAAACAATATTTATTATCTTAGTATATAATTATATTTTTAAAATCACAAAGTTAGTAGTTGCAAGACATATTCTGTCACTACAAACTGGACTTGTATTTATTTAACAGAGAGCCCAAGGATTTGATATCAGTAGCTACATAAGTGGGATACTTCCCACTTTCTGAATGGCGAAGTAGAACACTCAGGATTACACACCACCAAATTTTGGATGCATGTAACATTGCTAAATAATGGATTACTTCAAGCACCACGAATACTTCAATGATTTGAACTGGCCATGGTGCCTGCAGTCTGCATGTGCAGTGTTTCACTAGAGCACATCCAGAGTTTAAGTCCTGTATGAGCAATTAACAAGAATGAGATCAGCACAAAGAGCATGCTGACGACAGACATCCAATGGCTTCAAAAGCCGCCCAGTCACTAGTTTTTTATTACAGCGAGCAGCCACTGGTTGTTCGTTGCTTAGCTGACATGCCACCGCTCGCGTCATGGTGAAGGGAAGCATGGGGAAAGAATAAACATTTTATACCTCCACCATGAGAGCTTGTCATGACACAAGCAGGGACAGGTCTGTCAAAAAGCAAGCAGCCAGTGGATGCACACTGTAATGGCTGAATGACATTCTGTCAGTGAACTATTCGCACATTTGGTATATGGCAAATTTGCTTTCTTATTCTCACTAAATAACCGGAAATTTAATTTTTTTGTCACTTTTATATTTTTAAGAATACAAATGCACATGTCTACTGGCTAGACATACCTGGTCACACATCTTAAAATAAACGTGAATCGTTTTTTATGTTAGTGCATAACATAAACAAATGCATATGTTTTATATTTGTATTTACATACCAGTTGTAGAAGAGAAGTAATTATCTGCACATTTTATGCATTCATAGCAGCAACTGATGTCAGAATGCTTTTTGTATTCTCCAGGACTGCAGGATTGTGAGCAGTTGGAAAAAGGAGCCTGCAGACAGTAATAAATGTGATTATAATTCCACAGTTATTTCATATAGGGTGTGAGTGCATCTGTTCAGCTGAATGCTGCATTTTTATATCATTGAGCATTCATTTTATAATATAACTTCACTGCATATATATATATATATATATATATATATATATACACACACACACACACACACACACACACACACACATAATATATAAAACTTTTAATTCAGAGCTTAATCCAGGTAAAAATCAACGTTTCAGTTTGTACTGTCTTCAGAACATGAATCATTTGTGTCCTGTGATCTGAGCTATGCAGTTTTTAAAATAATTTTATACATTGATTTCTCATAGAAATCAGCACTTTTATAAACTGGAGTTAAACTAGACTACTCCTCACCCATAAAGCACTTTGCTTTTCAGGTGTGTAGTGGTCTTTTAACTGAAAAGCAAAAGTAGAATAAAAATGTAAATAAATTCCGCTACTGTAGCAATTTAAAAATAGTAAACATGGAAATGTAAAAGAGTTCTATTAGCGCCATTGCAAAATAACAACACTGATTCTTTTTTTAAAATATACGTCGGTAAAAGATTAATGCATACTTCACGTGCAATTTTTTTCTACATACCATATCTGTGTCCGTGTTCCACATAAAAATACTTTTATTCAATGTAATTATCCCATCTGATATATCATAATTTCCAACAATCTTAAATTCGGTAGTGTGGTTCAAATATTGCCAATTAATCACATCATATCCATTTAAGACATCGCCAACTGAATCAAAACGGAAAATCTCCCCACTTCTTGAGTAAGTTCCGTTCTTTATTTCTTTTAAAAGCTGCAAAAGATTAATTTGTACATCAATTGATATCACTGAATTTATCCTGACAGCAGAAAAAGGAGGGATCCGCACTCTCATCACCTGTAGACCTCGGTGCACTGTACCTAGGGCTGGCAAACCCCTAATCCATATAGTAACAGCAAAGTAGTCCAGGCACTCGATCTCACCATATATCAGCAGCTTTTAAGCTTGATAAAGATCCCTGAATGGATCGAAATGTTGCTGTATCTTGATTTTTCAATAAATCTGCTTATGTATGAAGACCTTGAGTGCATTGACTACTTTGCTGTTACTATATGAATTTATCCTGATAACATTATTCGATTTGGAACAATCAAAGTCGGGTATTTTTCTACTTAAAGGACCACTATAGTGCCAGGAAAACAAACTTCTGCCAAATGCGCATGCGCGGCAAGATCCGCTCGCGCATTCAGTCAGTCCATAGGAAAGCATTCTCAATGCTTTTCTATGGACGCTGGCGTCTTCTCACTGTGAAAATCACAGTGAGAAGCGCAGAAGCGCCTCTAACGGCTGTTAATGAGACAGTCACTAGAGGCTGGATTAACCCTAATGTAAACATAGTTTCTCTAAAACTGCTATGTTTACAGCTGCAGGGTTAACCCTAGATGGACCTGGCACCCAGACCACTTCATTAAACTGAAGTGGTCTGGGTGCATATAGTGTTATTAAACAAAGAAAGTAATCCAGGCACTCCAACGAATTCCCAAATATAGGCAATTTTATTGGAACAAGGAACTACACAGCAACGTTTCAACCCTTTAGGGCCTTTATCAAGCTCAGGCCCTAAGAGGTCGAAATGTTGCTGTGTAGTTCCTTGTTCCAGTAAAATTGCCTATATTTGGGAATTTGTTGGAGTGCCTGGATTCCTTTCTTTGTTTAATAATTCTACATTTTGGTCCATTTTGGTACTGGGACCTGTCCATTGGAGCACCCCGGATTCCACAACAAGGGGTTGAGTGCACTTCCATCACCTATATATATCTATCTGGGTGCATATAGTGGTCCTTTCCAAATGTGTTCAACTGATAAGAGAAAGATGTTACTATACCGTATAACTTGTCTTTCTCAACTCCTTCTGTGGCACAGTCAGAATGTTAATTATCTTTTGAGATCTAGTTTTTTTTTTCCTAAAAAGCAGTTTCATATATTTCCCTGAAGAACAATGTGTGTCTTTCCTGTGTAACATAAAAATGTATATGTAGTGGAACGCTGGTCTCTCACACACTATTTCAGCTGGTAGTCCAGGTGTGGCTCAGGAACAGTAGTAACCCCAGGAGAAACATCCACAGTAATAGAATAATCCAACAGCGTAGAAAGCACAATCAGCAATACAATCCAATAATATCCCATCACCTTTCCCAATAACTGGACGACACTCAGTTTTACGAGCAGAACTTAACTTTTATTCCACAAACCCTGCTTTTATGCCTCTTCCCCCCCTGCAAGGGAGACACCCACAATACTTAGTACAGTCACCAATCAGATACATGTTACCTCCCACACATCTCTTCCCCTCTGCCTGTGATACAATTATCTCAACACAATAGACTAACTTTATTATCACAGGCAGAAAATATACAGTTTTTACACACATGCTGTAACTTTAAAAATAAGCATCCAATCTTCCTAAGACATACTTGAAGTATAAACATACTCAAAAATTAGGTCAATCGGTTCAGGGGTTAAAAAGTTAGGTGGAGGTCCCTTTAGGACCACTGAAGCATGGATTTCCAGCCCAAACTTTCCAGCCCAAACCAGTTCCAACTAGTCTGGCAGTGTGCCTGGGACAACGCCCTGCTGAAGAACAATGGGACAGGAAACGGGGAAGGGTACACCTTCCCATACACAATCTATACACAGTCTAATAGAAGTCCATACACTGTGCTTAAAGGGCCAGTAGCCGCATAATAAAAATCCCTTATGCCCAAATATATTCTTAAACGGCAATACATCCCAGGGGCCGTAGTTACAGGGCAGGAGGCGGGCAAGCAGCCCCCTCCAAAAACTCATGGCAAACTCCTTTAAAGGGGCGAGTTTGCTACAGTATACCTCCCAATTTCGTAATCCTATGAATCAAGATGCCGGTGAGAGAATAAACACCAAATCACTTTAACTACCCCACTGAGGGCTGTTTCAGTTATCCCTTCAGGAGCTTAGTGTCCTGAACATAGTGTGAGTGTGTTTAATGATGCTTTCTTCCATGATGGTTGGGAACAGTCTTCTGGTGTCCCGAAAAGCGGGACACCAGGGGACTAAAGTAGGATGATGGGACCGGAACCGAAAATCGGGACTGTCCCGTCGGAATAGGGACATTTGGAAGGCATGTCAAATTTGATGTTCTATTCATATACCCAGGACATACTTGAAAACAAGAGAAATCTCAATGTATCCTTCCTGGTAAATATTTTATAAATAAAGAATAAATAACATATCTATCAACTCATCTGTACAACCAACATTTCCTCTTCAACAGCATGTGTTAGTATTTTGGACATATGTTTGCATATTGCTCCTGGCTAAATCTTGAATTTGGGGAGGTATGTGCATTTCTTTCTTTTTTGGTGAAATGCTAAATATGCCTTATGTTTTTTTAATTTACTTTTAATTAAAAGAGTTCTATTCACTAGTTACCAAAATACAGTAAATATAATTTAGGGGAAAATGTTAAATAATACTAAAAAAAAATATCTTCAGCTTGCACTGGTATTGTTTGCCTACATTTTGCAATTAGGTCTTCAGCTCATTAAAATGTGATGCTTAATTAATGAGCCAAACTATATATAACCTGGCTGTTAGTAAACTATATTGATATACAAGTAGGCTAAAGAGAAGCTAATTAACATGAAAGTAGAATTAAAGTAATAGTAAAAACCGGCAAGGTAAAATGGCCTAATTACTTTAACATGGTACACCTTTTGGAAATACGATCAACCATTTTAAAGTCTAATTGTGATAAATAATTATTTTATAATTCTTTTAAAAAATATGAGCAATATTTACATTTCCTGTTAATAATAACACAACATTTTTATTTTACCTCTTGTGGTGATAAGCTCTGATTCTTTTCACATGTTCCATCTTTGCATATTAAGTTCTTCAGGGCACTAGATATGGCTTCAATTGCCATATACGTACTATGTGATTTGCCCCATTCAGTATTGTTCAATAGGTAATCATCATTTGCTAAATAAATATTTTCTATCCTGCATGCTAGAGGAGATTTTTGTTTTATTGACTCAGAATTTGAACAGTTTTCCAAAGCTGACTCAATACATTCTAGGTATATTCTGTACTCATCTGTACAACCAAAACGTAATTCTTTATACTCTTTAAGAAAATCATTCCTTGCTTCAGGTTCTCTGGGATTGAGATTCAGTAGATATTCTGTTATTCCTGGAGCACGATTTTCCTTAAAGTTGAATCCAAGTATGGTCCCAATTTTTTCAATGTTTTTAATGCTTGAAACTTCTTTTGAAGTTGACCAGGCATCACTTGCAATCCATGTTTTGGAAATATTCAGTCTGATGACTTCTTTGAAAAGTTTCACAACAAAGGGACCTTTAGCAATTATTATTATAATATTTGCTTTATTAGTGCTAAGTTCATTTGTTATACTTGTTATTACATTAGGCAAATCAGGATGTTCTCCATACGATGGAACGATTTTGGAGAATGCGCGGCATATCCCATGCTGTGGGAAGAGAATATTTAAAAAATCTAGTGCAGAACGTCCATAATCATCATCACTTGATATGATACCAACCCAGTTCCACCAAAATGTTCTGATCAGTTTCACCATAGCTTCAGTTTGGTGTTTATCATTTGGGACAGTGCGAAGAAAGGAAGGGAACCTCACTTTGTCACTAAGAATTGCAGCTGTGGATGCAGGACTTATCTAAATCGAAAGAGGACAGAGCATTTTACTACATGGATTTTATTGTACAACTGTGTTATAAATTGCATATTACTTATGGGAAGATCTTAAGCAGTCCATGAAATGGTAGAATCACTCTGACAGCGTTATTTACTAGAGTGAGAATTTAAAGTGAATTTTACATTTAAGGCCAAAGCAGCTGAACTGAAAGCATAGTTGACTCAGACAATTTTTCCAGTTCAGCTATTTTAGAAAGAAATTAACTTCAAATTCACTTTGAATTCTCATTAGCAATTCACAGTAAATAACTAGCAAGAGTCACTCCCAGAAACTTAGAAGATTTTAGACACAGATGTGAAAGAAACACTCTAAAGAACTTAACAACTTTAGCTTAATAAAATAGTTTGAATTTGTAGAACAAGCCAGAGCAGTCTCACTGCTTAATTCTCTGTCCTTAAAGGGTTATTACAATCCCTTTTCAGAGTTGGAACCTTTCAGCTGTAAAATACCATATAGGGTACTGTAGAGGAGGTCTGTCTGTGATTTGGTTCCTGAACCCGTAACACCGTTGCCTATGACGGAGATGACTAGGTACTACCCCCTGATAAGTTTACACAAAATATTCCCCCATTTCACAGCAAATAGTATGCACTTGTTCATAATTTGAATTGATGAGCTGCTTATATTTAAACATAGATGTGGCCTTTGAGAGGTAATTTGCAATCATGAGCTGCTAAAATGAGACATTGGCCCAGCATCCACTTTTTAAAAATATGAAATTGGTGTGTCTCAAATGTGCCCCTTCAACATCCACATATCTATGAAAAATTTACACATGGGGGTATTGTTGTACTAAGACGACATAGCTGAGCAACATATTAGTTGTTATACTGCCGTAGCACACATAAGAATTGCAAAATATACAGTAACATCTCCAAGTGTGTGTCAAAAAGGCAGAAAAAATGATAATTGCTACTAGACTTGGTACAAACTAGAAAAATAATGATCCTACGCTAAGGTTTAAAATATGCCTTTTGAAGTATCCTGGGGTGTCTGCTTTAAGAAATGGTAGACCTTTGTCGGGTAGTTTGAATTAAAAACCTGCTAAGATGCTCGAAAATTGCACATGGGCCCAGCGTCAAAATTCAAAGTTCGGTAAAAACTGATATGGCTTGGTCTTCAATGTGCCCCTTCAACATCCACATATCCATGAAAAAATTTACAAATGGGGGTACTGTTGTACTAAGGCGACATAGCTGAGCAACATGTTAGGTGTTATACTGCCGTAGCACATTAAAGGATTGCAAAATATGCAGTAACATCTCCAAGTGTGTGTATAAAAGGCAGAAAAAATTCTAATTGCTACTAGACTTGGTACAAACTAGCAGAATGCTTGGTTGCATAGGGAGAGGTATTAGCAGCAGAAAGAGGGAAGTGCTCATGCCATTGTACAGAACACTGGTGAGACCTCACTTGGAGAATTGTACACAGTACTGGAGACGGTATCTCCAGAAGGATATTGATACTTTAGAGAGAGTTCAGAGAAGGGCTACTAAACTGGTTCATGGATTGCAGGATAAAACTTACCAGGAAAGGTTAAAGGATCTTAACATGTATAGCTTGGAGGAAAGACGAGATGGGGGGGGGGAGGGGGATATGATAGAAACATTTCAATACATAAAGGGAATCAACACAGTGAATGAGGAGACCATATTTAAAAGAAGAAAAACTATCACAACAAGAGGACTTAGACTGAAATTAGAGGGGCAAAGGTTTAAAAATTATATCAGGAAGTATTACTTTACTGAGAGGGTAGTGGATGCATGGAATAGCCTTCCAGCTGAAGTGGTAGAGGTTAATACAGTGAAGGAGTTTAAGCATGCATGGGATAGGCATAAGGCTATCTTAGATATAAGAGACTAAAGTATTTTAGAAAATTGGGTAGACTAGATGGGCCGAATGGTTCTTATCTGCCGTCACATTCTATGTTTCTTAGGTTTAAAATATGACTTTTTGAAATACCCTGGGGTGTCTACTTTAAGAAATGGTAGCCTTTGTGGGTTTTTAACAGTCAAACTGATATAATGCCTCAAATTGAAACATGGGCCCATCAAATCCGTCTCAAAATTCTACTGTTAATACCAAAATGGACAGGTCTCCTATATCGCACTGTAGTTTCACAAAATAGTGCCTAAGACATTCATTGGGGTATCATTTTACTCAGAAGACTTAGCTGAGCATAATTTGGGGGCTTTGATCATAGTGGCACATATCAAATATACAAAATGCCAGCAAAAATTTAATCTGTATGCAACAAATGCCCCAAATTTTTTTACAACATACTTTTACATAAATTGGTGAAAAAATGGGGGCATGTTAAGGCACAATATGCACCCAATGAGATACCCTGGAGTGTCTACTTTTACAAATGGTAGGCCTTTGTGGGTCAAAATGCTATAATACCCTAAATTGAAACGTAGGCCCATCAAATCCATCTCTCCTACGACAACCCTCCTAACCCAAAGTAAGTATACAGACACTACATATAGAGAGATCTCTATATATAGTGTTTGTATAAAACCACACACAATTTAAATAAATATTGTTAAAAACATACACACACTCCATCTATCTCTATCTTTTACTATCTATCTATTTCTATCTATATCTATCTATATCTATCTATATCTATCTATCTATGTATCTATATCTATCTATCTCTTTCTACCTATATCTATATCTATTTCTATCTATCTATTTCTATCTATCTATCTATCTCTCTATCTATCTATCCATCCAGTGGCGTACATACCGGGGTCACAGGGGTCGCGGCTGTGACCCGGCCCGGCCCACCTGCGACCGGGTATGTACCCACTGTGGCCTCTTCTCCTGGGGGGCCCAGGGGCTGGCCACCTCAGGGTCCCCCGAGGCTGGCCCTGGTGTCACCCGGCGGGCAAGCTGGCGGGCACGTGAGGGAGCACTCTCCCCTGAGTGCTTCCTCTTCAGCTCTCTCGCGCACCACACTGAAACCGAAGCCTGAAGATGACGTAATCTTCTGGCTCCGGTATCAGTACGCAGCGCGAGAGGGAGCTGAAGAGGGAGCACTCAGGGGAGAGTGCTCCCTCGTGCGCCTGCCAGCCTGCCTGCCGGGTGACACCACTAGACCCCAGGGAATCCTCTCAGCACTCCCACAGGTAGGGAGGCTGGGGGGATTATTATTTTATTTTTTTTAAAACGTGTGTGTGTGTGTTAGAGTGTGTTAGTGTTAGAGTGTGTGTGTATGTTAGTGTTAGAGTGTGTGTGTTAGTGTGTGTGTTAGTGTTAGAGTGTGTTAGTGTAAGTGTGTGTGTGTTAGTGCGTGTGTGTGTGTGTTAGAGTGTGTGTGTTAGAGTATGTGTGTGTGTGTTAGAGTGTATGTTATTGTTAGAGTGTGTCAGTGAGTGTTTTACTGTGTGTGTCTGTTACTGAGTGTGTTAGTTTGTGTGCATCTGTTAGTGAGTGTGTGTTTTGTAAGTGAGTGTGTCACTGTCTGTCAGTGAGTGTGTATGTATGTCTGTCACTGAGTGTGTGTCTGTCAATAAATGTGTGTGTTTGTTAGCTAGTGTGTATGCGTCTGTTCGTGAGACTGTGTGTGTCATAAGCACTTACCTTTCTCCAGTGCCGGACTCCCTTGGCGCTGTGGATCTCTCCGCCCCGATCTGCTGTGATTTTCACAGTGAGAATCGCTGAAGCTCCTCTAGCGGCTGTCAATGAGACGGCCGCTAGAGGCTGGATTAACCCTCAGTGAAACATAGCAGTATGTTTTCAGCTGCAGGGTTAAAACTAGAGGGACCTGGCACCCAGACCACTTCATTGCCACTTCATTGCGCTGATGTGATCTGGGTGTCTGTAGTGGTCCTTTAAGTGTATGTGTATCTGCATGCACTGGTGTACATACCGCGGTCGCAGGGGTCGCAGCCCTGCGACACCTGCGACCAGGTGCCTGCCGCCATGTGTTGCGCAGAGTAAGCGCGCAGGTGGGTGGGCCCACAGATCAGTTTTCGCTCCGGGGCCCCATGGGTTGTGTGTACGCCACTGTATCTATCTATCTATCTCTATCTATTTCTATATAGCTATCTATCTCTATCTATTTCTATTTATCGATTTTTATCTATTTCTATCTATTTTATCAGTCTATTTATCCATCTATTTCTATCTCTATCTCTCTTTATCTATCTATCTCTCTTTATCTATCTATCTCTCTTTATCTATCTATCTCTCTTTATCTATCTCTATCTATTTCTCTCTCTACCTCCCACACTCTCCCTCCCACACTCTCCCTCCCACACTTTCCCTCCCACACTTTCCCTCCCACACTTTCCCTCCCACACTTTCCCTCCCACAATTTCCCTCCTACACTCTCCCACTCAGCCACCCACACTCAGCCACCTGCAAACACTCACAATCACTTACTCACTAACCCACACTTAGTCACTCACCCACACTCACTCACCCACCCTCACAATCACTCACTCACCCACCCACACAATCACTCACTCAACAACCCACACTCAACCATCTGCCCACAATCACAATCACTCACTCAACCACCCACACTCGGTCACCAGCCCACACTCACAATCACTCACTCACACATCAACCCACACTCACTCACCAACCCACACTCAGCCACTAACCCACACTCAGAATCACTCACCCAACCACACTCAGTCAGTCACTCACTCACCCACACTCACTCACTCACTCACTCACTCACACTCAGTCACTCAGCCACTAAACCACACTCAGAATCACTCACTTACCCACACTCAGTCATTCAGTCACCCACCCACCCACACTCAGCTATCTGCCCACCCACACTCAGCCATCCACCCACACTCACAATCACTCACTCACCAACCCACACTCCGGCACTTACCCACACTCAGAATCACTCACTCACCCACACTCAGTCACCCACCCACACTCACTCACCAACCCACCCACACTCACTCACCCTCAGTCACTCACCCTCAGTCACCCACACTCTCACTCAGTCACCCACACTCACTCACACACACTCAGTCAATGACCCACACTCAGTCACCCGCCCACACTCACAATCACTCATTCACCCACCAATCCACACTCAGCCATCCACCCACCCAATCACTCACTCACCAACCCACACTCACAATCACTCTCACCCACACTCACTCACTCACCCACACTCGGTCACTCACCCACACTCAGTCACCCACTCACCCTCAGTCACCCACACTCACACTCAGTCAGTCACCCCCACTCACTCACCCACCCACTCACACTCAGTCACCCACACTCTCACTCAGTCACCCACACTCTCATTCTCACTCAGTCACCCACACTTAGTCACCCACCCACACTCAGTCACCCACTCACCCTAAGTCACCCACCCACACTCACACTCAATCACCCACACTCACTAAATAAGTTTACTTACAGTTTGAATCCTCCCCTCCTGCTCAGTTTCCGGTCTTCAGCCTGTCAGCTCCCGCCGACTCTGTGTGCGGATCTCCCACAATCCTTCGGTGCTGACAGGCTGACAGCCTGCAGACAGGATGCTCGTGCACAGAGCTGCACAGAGCTACCCTGTCTGCTGACAGCAGATCTGAGTGGATGGAGGCGTTTTAAGCCTCCATCAACTCGGACGTCCCTCTGGTGGCAGTCTGAGTGAAAGGCTCCAGGGAGCTATAGTACTCACCTGAACAACCTCATTAAGCTAAAGTTGTTCAGGTGACTATAGTGTCCCTTTAACATTGCAAACTAGAACTACTGTAGGTGTGAATGTTTTGGTTAGTTATGCATATGAACTCTACATATCTGTATAAGGCTGCAGGCTCTCTCTCATGAGAGTGTTTGTAAAAAGTATCTAATTATGGTTTGGCAGTATTTGGCAGAAATGTTCTCTTTTTTCTGTTTTTGAAATAATATGTACAACCAGAGGAATGTTTAATTAACTTTTAGGAATTTTAGCATACATTTATTTTGTCAACGGACTTGTCTAACAAAAGTATTTAAAGTTCCAAAGTGATAAAGAGCTTAACGTCACCACATATTTCTTTAGAGATTCAGTTACTACATTAAAATCCTAGACACATTATATTCTAAAAATCAGAACAACTCAATTAATTTATTTTTAATTACTTTCCTTAACCTGCACTAATTATTATCACATTATTATTGCAAAAACTGTAAAAAAAACTGTTAAAAAACTTAACTTAAAAAAATATTTTTCCTTTTTTGCATTTTTTTTTACAATAAATGAGCATTTATATATGTATATGTTACAACAAATTAAAGCCCTTCTTGTCTTTTAAAAAATGGTATATAATATGTGTTGGTGCATTAAATGTGTGTCCTTAAGGGGTTAAGCAGCGGCAATTGACTAAATTGGATTAGTAGTCAGATTTCTCCCATTTGGCAGTTTGAAGTAAAAACATTTTTATAAAAGTTCTGCCCTTTGTTCAAAATCGTATATTATTTTAATATAATGTGAAAATAAACATTCCGGTGGAATTTATAAGTACAGCATTATATATTACGATCTAGCAAAATCCAAGTAGATCATATCCATTCCAACAACATGATCTGTACGTCTATTCACTTCTTCCTATAATGTCAAATAATTTCATAGGTCATGATTTTTCCTTCAGAAAATTATACTTTCACTCCTGATAGCACTACGGGCCAAACAATATTTCTATATCCAGATTAATTAACCCGTGGCCCTAGCAGAATGCCAGAGTAGAACCCCCTCCTAGAGTATTAGGTTTGGAGGAAGCTGTAAGCTGCACTTGGAGGTTAGGCTGAGTGTGTCTGTGTGTGCTGGTTGAGTGTGGTGTGTGGTGGCTGACTTTTCTGTGTGGAGGAGTCTCAAGAAGGGAGACTCCTCCAGGGAGCTCCATCAGAGATAGAGCTCCATCTATGCCGCTTTATGAGTAACCCAGCTCTGAGTATTTCTGAATATTATCCCACAAACGTTCAAATAATTTCCATAGAGAATTAACTTACATAGTTAAGATAAAAAAGCACTAAAGGCATTTAGCAGGAATGGTACTACTGTGGTGACCAAAATGTATACATAATTATTTATTATAGTTCCATAATTTTTTTTGTGATTTTACTTCCTTAGATATTATTATAAAACTTGAACTGATTGTATAACCTGCAATAAATGGTGATGTTTTACCTGAGGAATAAAGTGAAGGCTTAGAAATCTTGCAATTGCAATAGATATTTCAGAATATTCTTCTCCAACCACAGCTTTCACAGAAGGCACAGTCTCTGTAGCCTTGCACTCTTTGGAATTGTTTGTGCTCATGGCTTCTGGAAGTAATTGCAGCATTGCTTGAGTTGCCATCAGTGCATCAGAGCAGGAGTCGTAAATTTCATAGCCCAAAGTTATTCCTGGCAAAAAGGTGGAATTATTTATCTGTTCTATTGCAAATATCATAGACAGGGCATCTGTCACGCTGCGTGGTTGTAACCTGGAATAAAAATACACATATAAAATGCATATAATGTTAGATTCTCATTGTCAGCTACTAAACTGAGAATTTAAAGTGAATTTCAAAATTTCAGTGAACATGTTGTCTACTTTTAATATTAGTGTCTTTTTCCATGTGTCCTAATGTAGCTTCATCCATATTTTAGGATACTTACCTCCTCTTCAACCATTTCAGCACCACCATTATCCCATAAAGCCATTTCAGGTCGTGAATTTTCCTATTAACATTACCTCTCTTTGGGAAAGCCTCTGATGGCTTACTCACAGACTGGCACACCCATCTTCCAACTTTGCTTCATTGATAGCACATCAGTTCGATTCAACAGAGTAACGTCTCTGTTGAGTGACTTCAAGTGTATTGAAGAAGCCTACACCTTAGGTGAAATGTAGAGTTGAGCCGACACGTGGATGTTCGGATCCAGAGGCTTCGGCCGAACTTTGAAAAAAAGTCCAGGTTTGGACTCTAACTTGACCCCAAACCTGAACCCCAATGAAGTCAATGAGGACCCGAACTTTTGGCCACAAAAATGCCTCTAAAAAACTCCTGGAAAGAGCTAGAAAGTTGCAAAAGCAAGTAAAATGGGGGTAAGAGGAGGACAAGTTCCCTGCAAACAAATGTGGATAGGGAAATCACTTAAAATAACATAAAAATTAAAAATACAGCTGAGCAATAAAATAGCACTAGATGGAATCTTTGATTTTAGATTTGGAAGAACATAAATCAAAATCTAAAGCATGGCTGTCAGGAGGATCACCAGAATTATCCATTTGAGAGAGGGTTGGAGTGCAGGGTATTCTCTTTCATTGTTCAAACTGAGCTCAACTCCTGATGCATTGAGAAAAGGCCTTCACAAGCATCTGCTATTGTGTACATAGTTTATACTAAGTGACCCATAGGTTGAGGAGGCGGTGACCGTGGCGGTGTAGGTGGAAGCAGCAGTGGAGGAGGAGGATAAGGTAGCCAACACTGTTTTTTTTTGTTTTTTTTTGTTTTTTTTTGTAATTGTGGTAGCCCACAAAATATTGGGACATACAACAAAATAAACATTTGCGGCCTGTGGTGCATTTCTTGCAGTCCTGATGCATGGAGAAATGCTCAACTCCTGATGCATGTAGAAAAGGCCTTCACAAGCCTCTGCTAATGTGTACCTAGTTTATACTAAGTGACCCATAGGTTGAGGAGGCAGTGACCTTGGCGGTGGAGGAGGAGGATGAGGTAGCCAACACTCTTATTTATGTTTTGTTTTTTGTAGTTGTGGTAGCACACAAAATATTGGGACATACAAAAAAAGAAACATTTGCGGCTTGCGTTGCATTTCTTGCAGTCCTGATGCATGGAGATATGCTCAACTCCTGATGCATGGAGAAAATGCCTTCACAAGCCTCTTGCTAATGTGTACTTAGTTTATACTAAGTGACCCATAGGTTGAGGAGGCGGTGACTGTGGCGGTGTAGGTGGAGGAGGAGGATGAGGTAGCCAACACTGTTTTTTTTTTTTTGTAATTGTGGTAGCCCCCAAAATATTGGGACATACAACAAAAGAAACATTTGCGGCCAGGTTTATACTAAGTGACCCATAGGTTGAGGAGGTGGTGACCGTGGCGGTGGAGGAGGAGGATGAGGTAGCCAACACTGTTTTTATATATATATATATATATATATATATATATATATATATATATATATATATTTTTTTTTTATTGGGTTAGCCCCCAAAATATTGGGACATATAAAAAAAAGACAACTCAGTTCCACAGAGTAGCTGTTGACATTATAGTTGCGCAGGAACTTTGTTGACTCTAGACAACCTCGTGCAAATCGCACATCCCCATGGCGCTTTGCACAAGGTTGCATGCGGATGTCATCCATATCAACTTTTGATGCCAGTTTCTGCGCCTACTGTGGTGACCACCGGTAACAGGGAATCAGGGTTCCATTCCATACAGGGACCCTGAGAAATGGCTACCGCATGCAAGGAAGGCAGCAAGCACGCAAATTACCCACTCCCGACGTGGGAAGGTAGTGACGACAAATAATACAGGACTCTTTAGAGGCCCTGTAATTGTAATGAGTCAACTTGAAATCCTTTAACTCTGATCAATTGGAGGGAAGTCTGGTGCAGAGCCACTGACCCGTGCGTGCTGCAGCTGAAACTCCACTATCGCCTGCTGCTGCTCGCACAGTCTCATGAGGCGGTGAGCGGGAAGGGCGAAGTTATGCTGCAGCGCAGACAGGCAAGCAGCTGCAGGGTGACAATGCCAAAAGCGCGCACAGCCGCTATAGTGAAAGTTACATCCTGTTCCAAGTTGTGGATCAGTCTGGTGATGGCTTCTGGTATCAAGTACTCTTTTTACTGAAGCTGCATCAGGGTCCTTGTATGTGGCCGCACAAACGCTGGTGCTCAACACCAGGGGGTGTGCGGTTACCCTGCACCAGACCCTACTAATCCATTCCACACTGTGACTCCTAACTTCAACATCAGGCATTCTGGGTCCCGGTCGTCCGACCGCCGCCCAGGCAGTGTCTGGGTCCTGGTCACCGGACTGTCCACCTCACTGTGAAACTACGAATGGATCGTTAAATCTGGTACGAACCCGAACTTTGCAGTTCGGGTTCGCTCAACTCTATTATGGATCCTTTGATCGCTACATGTATTACTTGGATAACTGGTAATTCTCAAGCTAATACATGCCGACGAGCGGTAGGGGACGGCCGCTCTGCTTTTGCACCCTGCTCCCTCTTATGCTGTGCTGGAGCCTCTGTGCGACCAGCGCCTCTTCCTCCAAACCGCACACTTCACTCGCATGACCTTGATTCCATGTAAGGTCTAGGACCTCATCATCCTAGGCACCTGTGTTTTTCCAGCATGTAAAGTCTGCAAAGGACATATGGAAATTGTTTTAGAATTTCCTCCAGACAACATTTTTCCATATAAACTGACCTCTCAGTTTGACTTGTGAGGGTATTGCCCCAGAATTACAATATTGTTGAAGTACCTCTTAGCTATTGATCACTGGTTTAAATATAGCAGCTGGTTATCTGGTAGTTTCTAGTGTAGAAAATATCAATCTGTTTTCTATCAATTAGATCTGTGTAACAAGTGTGTAGGTGTGAAACAATATTACAAGTGACTGATGTACTAAATTTGAATCAAAGTTCCATTTGCAAAAAAAATTCTCGCCCATCTTCTGTGGGTTATTGCATTTTTAAGATATAGACTTATTGTATCACACTAGCCATGCACAGGTAGATTGTCTGGCACGTTGTTTTGGTGTTTGGTTTTTAACTTTATAGTTGTGTCTTTACACAATATAGAAATGTATATTAATGCTTCTGTATATGAAGCGATCACAATAACACTTATTTTTCACTTAAAAAAAAAAATCAAGCTACACAAAAATTGGTAATTCACAATATGACATCTGAAAAGCACATGACAGGATGCTGTATGATTTTTTAAAAAAAAGAACACACTACATGAAGGTCCTGTTCACTAGAGTGTGTAGTCGTGAATGTAACCAGTAAAACATTGTTGTTTACAGCCACTGGTTGGCCCATACATATTTTAAAACTTGTTTAATTTTGTTGTAGCATGACTTGTAGGTATGAACTATTTAGCATATTAGCACCCAGAAAATTTGAATTTTTCAGGTGCGCTGTAAGCACACTATTAGATACTTCTATTTGACTCTCAGATATGAAGTGCACCCCACTAAAATACTATTTAGCAGTTTAGCACCCAAAAAATGTAAGTTTTAAAACTGCAATGTGACAGTAGTATTTGACGCTTCTATTTTATGCTCACATATGAAGTGCACCGCAGGCCCCAAAATGTACTATTTAGCAGATTAGCAACAAAACAATTAGAATGTTTCCAACTGCGCTGTAACCGCAGTATTAGACACTTCTATTTGACTTTCAGATATGAAGTGCACACCCCAAAATTTACTGTTTAGCACCAAAACAATTAGAATGTTTACAAGTGCGCTGTAAGTGCACTATTAGACGCTTCTATTTGACTCTACTATATGAAGAGCTGGCCACAAAATGTACTGTTTAGCAGATTAACACCCAGAAAATAATAGGAATGTGCATGGGGAAAATATTCGGCTCGGTTCGGCATTCCGAAATTCGGGACTTCGTCAATTGGGGACTTCGATACTTCGGCACTTCGGAACATCGGCACCGACACAATAAAAAAACAACAAAAAAAAAAAAACGACCGCAAAAAAAAAAAATCCATCTTCACCCGGCGAGGGCTCCACGCAGACTGAGCTCTGCAGGGCGGGGGAAGGTTTATAAAGCCTTGCCCCGCCCTGCAATTAGGCTCAGAGCACTCTGATTGGTGGGTTTAAGCCATCCAATCAGAGTGTTCTGACAGGTAAATGAAGAGACTGACAGGTAAGTCTCTACATTTACCTGTCACAGCACTCTGATTGGTTGGTTTGAAATCCACCAATCAGAGTGCTCTGTGTCTATTTACACAGCGTAGGAAAGTTCTTTGGAATTTTCCCACACTGTGTAATTTGACTCACAACTCTCTGATTGGTGGATTAAGTAACCAATCAGAGAGTTCTGAGTCAAATTACACAGCACTTCAGCACTACTACACTAAGGAAATTAGGTCATTTCGGCACTTCGGCAATTCAGCTATTCGGACATTCGGAAGCACCCGAATGTCTGAATTACCAGAAATTAGGCCTAATTTTAATTCGGACCGAAACGAATTGCACATGTCTAGAAAATAAGAATGTTTACCACTGCGCTGTAAGCGCACTATTAGACGCTTCGATTTGACTCTCAGATATGAAGAGCAGGCCACAAAATGTACTATTTAGCAGATTAGCACACATCATCTTCCACCAACTCCTCCAAAGCAGCAGATTAGCAGCAAAACAATTAGAATGTTTACAACTGCACAGTAAGCGCACTATTAGACGCTTCGATTTGACTCTCAGATATGAAGAGCAGGCCACAAAATGTACTATTTAGCAGATTAGCACACATCATCTTCCACCAACTCCTCCAAAGCAGCAGATTAGCAGCAAAACAATTAGAATGTTTACAACTGCACAGTAAGCACAATGTTAGACGCTTCTATTTGACTCTCAGATATGAAGAGCAGGCCACAAAATGTACTATTTAGCAGATTAACACCCAGAAAATAAAAATGTTTACCACTGCCCTGTAAGCGCACTATTAGACACTTCTATTTGACTCTCATATATGAAGTGCACCCTACTAAAATACTACTTAGCAGTTTAGGACCCAAAAAAATTTAAGTTTTAAAACTGCAATGTGACAGCAGTATTTGACAATTCTATTTGACTCTCAGATATGAAGGGCACCCCACTAATGTACTACCCCACTAATGTGCTATTTAGCACCAAATAAAATATACTTTTTAAAGCTCCAATGTAACCGCGGTATTTGAAGCTTCTATTTGACTCTCAGATATGAAGTGCACCCCACCCAACTAATGTACTAGTTTGCAGAATTCTTTCCTAAGCTGTCCCTATCAGCGGCAGCATCCTCTCCCTACACTAATAAGACCGCATGTGCGTGCGGTGCTATGCGACTCCAGCTTATATATAGAAGCTGGGTCACATGCTGCACTGGCCAATCACAGCCATGTCATTAGTAGGCATGGCTATGGCTTCTAAGGGCAAACAAGTCAAATGCTTGTTGATTGGCTGCCCTGCAGCCTTTGAAAATGCGCCATTAAATGGCCAAACACCGAACTCCAACCCGAACATACAGTGATATGTCCGTGTTCAGGTCCGGGGTGAAATGCATTTGTGTACTATATTGCTATTTTACTTTATTGTTTTTATATCAGTGCTGCAACTTTACCTTTAGTAAACTTTACATTACTTCATATTTTCTGGACCTTCCTGATTTCCTTGCTTGTGGAACATCTTCTTTCAATATACAACCTAAGCATTTTGGGTTGGGCAAAACTATTGTTTGCTCTTACTAATGTGAGTACTTTTTCTTTTGGCTTTATTCTACAGTGTGCACTATATTTTATTTCTTGTTTTTATATTTGCGGTGAAGATTTTATCTACCTACATCAGAGAGAGATGTATGCACATATATCCCAGAGTGTGGATTATTCCACTCCTAGTGCTACATATGGAGCCACCTGGAGGCTACAATAAATGTAACTGTTCATTTTTATAATATCTATTTTCTAATTTTTTGAAAACATTGTTTACATACTACACTATCCTGGTGTTTATCTGTTTTGTATTTTTCAGGTTTTTTTGGTGTTGCTTATCTGTGTTGGCTATCTTCACTATACTGGACCAGGAAAAAGAAAAAAAACAACAACTTGCATCCACAGGTGGGGATTATACTGCTCAAGCGCTACAATTGAAGCTAAGAGTTATCTTACAACACTGTAAGTGTATTTCCTTTTTTAATCCTCTACTTGAAGTTTTAATATACTACACTATATATTTTTCCTTTTTCTCTTCTTCCACATACCATCTTGATTTTGAACAATTCTCCAAGGTGCTGCTCCCTAATGCTATCACCTCTCCTACGCTACCATTTACATATTAAAAGCTCTCACCTTCCACCTATTGGGAGGTTTTGGGGGGGGAGAGGGGTGGGAACTGGTATGTCCCCCCATGCATGATTGTTTGAACCCGCAGTTGCTGGTCAATGGTGGGGGCAGTGGTAGACAGTGACATGTCTACTCGCATTATTAAAATTTGGTCTCACCTGATGCACATAGGAAGGGTAATTTAGTAGGATTGGGCCTTATTTGTGAGTTAGTTAGCAACAATAGCTGTCCATTCACTAGTTTTGATTTTCATCCTATATCACATGAGTCATATTGACCCTTTTCTTTATTTTATTTTAACTTTACATTTCTTATGGCAGCAAGTTAGCAACTGTTGGCCAGCTGCCACTTAACTTACCCCTTGCAAATTGAAGGTGTTTGTTTAACTATTTGCCTGCTAGTGGCTCTACTTTGCTCATAGTATTGTTTATAACTATGAACAAAATCTTGAATTTTCAGTCCAAATGACCCCATATGGAACCAAATGGATTAACCCCATTAAGTACAGGCCATTCAGATTTCAGTAAATAACTGTGTGCGTAAAATAATATATATTTTTTTTAAATCTTTGTAGATGCTGTTAGTGCTCCATAGAAGTCTAGGGTATAAGCCATTATATCGTTGATAACCAGATAATATCTATGGAGGCTCCCACAGTCTCATACAGAGACTGTGGGAGCCTCCATAGATATTATCTGGTTATCAACGATATAATGGCTTATACCACAGATATTTTTATCTTTATGAAATATAAAAATCCTTTCTTGGGGACAATGTTGCTTTAAAAGGCTACTCTGGACACCATAAAAACTTCACTTTCAAATGTAACTTTCTGACGCATTTCTCTCAATGGGAAGCCAGTTGACATGCTGAGGGCATCAGTTGACATGCTTCGTCTAGTAACAGTGCTCATATGAAAGCCAAATTGGAGATAGGGGGAAAGCGGATAAGCACTGTCAAGAGGACTGTGGAGATTAAGTTTTTATGGTGCCCAGAGTGTTCCTATAATCTGGCAATGACCCAATACCAATAGATGGGGGCTATGTGAGACCAGTGGTGGGTCCCCCTCAATAATCCTTTTTTTTCCCCGTCTAGCCTCAGCTAATAGGTAGAAGCAAGGGGGAATAAGTGGGAAGTCTCTCTTGGAACTACTAAAGGCTTCACTCCACTGTTAATAGGGTTGGGCAGCAATAGTAAGTCTATTTTTAAACCCCCCTGAGCAGCAGTAGAGGGGATTAGTGATATTCTCATTTTATTAGTACTCCTGTTAGCACTGCCAGTATGTAGTTAGTACTAATTTTTATAGATATGCACACAAAACTCAGGTGACTATTTTGCAGACTGCCTGTTTCCAGGCAAGATTCAGTATTTATCATCTGTTTGGTCAATGTGCAGATTCTATCAGTTATTGCTAGGGCCTAAATATTTGCTAATAACATCCCAAGAGTAAATAACACTCAACTTTTATTGGTATAGATAAAAGCTAAGTAAGTATATACAAGCAAAAAACTAAAAATTATATACATACAGAACCAACAACATAATATAAAATCTCCTTAAGGTTGCTGCAATGTGATATACACTGTCTGTATAATGGAATAAACCAAGTAGCAATGAAAAGAAACAGAGCAGTGATAAGGTGAAGGAAAGTTTCACTTCATTAATTAGCAAGAGTAGCATGGTACAGACTGGAGCTCACTGTCTGGCCTAACACTCTGACAGCTGCAAACCAACAGGCTTCCCCAAACTCCGGCCCTCCAGATGTTGCTGAACTACAACTCCCATGATTCTCAGCCTATTTATTTCATTCATAGAATCATGGGAGTTGTAGTTCAGCAACATCTGGAGGGCCAGAGCTTGGGGAAGCCTGATCTAAGTAAACTAAACTAATTTGGTACTATACCTATATGAGGGAAGGGGGAAAATATCTATACTGGCCACTTGTGCCTTAGTTGGCACCTCCTGTCTACGCTCCTCCCCTCCTGAAGGTACCTTTAAAGACTACTGCCCACTTTATTTCAGGATGGGAGGAGTGTAGACTGAAGGTGCCCTCGAAGGCACAAACAGCCAGTATAGGTATTTTCCTCCTTCCTTCATATAGGTATAGTACCAAATTAGTTTAGTTTACCTAGATCGTTGGTTTGCAGCTGTCAGAGTGTTAGGCCAGACTGTGAGCTCCAGTAGCTAAAATAAATGCATATCTGACCCAAGTGAATTTTTCCAGTTTGGCATTTTTAGCTTTACATTTTAAATTCACTTTGAATTCTCATCTAATTCGTAATAATTCTTAGTTTAAGAAATAACCCTTGTTGTGGTAGTTTTTATGCAAACAAACATAGTGAAACACCATTTAAAATTGAATTCGCCGATGTTCATCTGAAGAGTAGAATCAATCAACGAACAAACTCGTTGTGGGTTGATGGGTTTGCTTTATTTATATCTTTGTAAGTAAAATATATACCATACTTGCAATAATGTTGGTGTTTTTAAAATACTGCACTATAGATTTTGTGTTTCCTTCTGGTTTTATTATTTTATATGCCTAAGTAAAAAAAGGAGTAATAGTACAGTTTCTTTTTTTATTTCAGCAGGGTGTTTTTTGAGTAAACATTCTTTATTTTGTACAGGATACAAAACAGAAGATAAATAAATATACACAAATAAAGGCAGGCAGCCTAAAAAGGGACTCTCTCTATTTTGTGTGTTTTTTTTTCTGTAATGAAATACTGTTAGCAATACAATGTTGACATGTTGTCCATGTTTAGTGTTTAGTGAATAACCTCTTTTTTGTAAACTAAAAATGATGTTACATTTATTTGTAAAAGACTACTTATAAAGCAAATCTACAGTATATCCTAATTTGCTCCTTTTTTGAAAAGTGCCTTAGGGTGTTTGTATTTTCTCATTGTAACTTTGAAACACACAAGTCAAAACTCACATTTCAAGTTTTGCAAATGCATTCACATTTTTTAAAATAATTTTGGTGCCTGGGAGTTCTTTCAATAAATGAGTGTTCCCATGAAAATCAAACAATTAACTGCAAACATTCTAAATGCAGTATTGGGCTTCCATAAACATGTCTGTGCCTAAGTATGTACTAAATATAGAAATTATAATTATGATGCATTGCTAACAGAATTTAAAAAAGTTGCCATGTTAAGGTTAAAATCCCTTTATGAACAGCGTAGGTGGGGATGCAGAAGGTTAGATCACAGTTAAATGAGTATACAGTAATTTAAGCACATCACAATTCCCTTTTTAAGCCATGGAGAAAGATTGCTAACTACCAGGGTTGAACTTACTTGATAATAAAACATGAATTTCTGGTTATTTAAACAAAATAACAATAATGCTCACCCAGTACATATAAAGTCATTCGCATCAGTGCGTCCAGTTAAATTTGAAACCTCTTTATGGATTGGAAAGATCCCTCCTATGATGATATCTCCAGGTAAGTGTGCTATCGGGCGCTTTTGGACATCACAGAACAGCATTAATCTCCAAAATAAACAAGACATTAATGTATGAAATAAGAGCTGCTGTAACATGATTAATGTCTCTCACAGATCTGCTCAGTGTGTGCTACCTATGCTCCTTGAGGTATATATACTGCATTTATGGGTTGGCTCAAACAGTAGAACAATAGAGCCTTTCAGCAATTTCTTTTCAGTACAACATGATATGCTCAATATATTAAGCCCTCTGTTGCTGTGAAAGAAGCACAACAAAATGTATAATGAAATAAATGTGTTGTGTGTACCCTGAACTTTATGTTAGCAGAGGGGAATCAATGTGTAATGTGTCCACAGGACCCTAGGAGGGTCTGACCCATCGCAAAATAAAATTACATTGGCAGTGAGACTAGTCCTGGCAGCTCATTGGTTGCAACCCTCTCCTCCATCCTTGGGCAAGGTGAGGGCCAAAATAGAAGAAAACCATTTAATGGGCCAACTCACAGTGACCCTACACAACTCCCTTACTTCGTTTCACAAGGTTTGGGAAGCCTGTCATACCTACAAAGATAGAATGTAAATCACCCATTGCAGAGATACCTTGGTTACCCAGAGACTCTGGCGGGGGACCTGATACCCTACTGAGATATACACAACCTGCGAGGAATCACATAATGGGGGATATTGGCTCAGGGAGCTCTGGAGGGCAGAGGACTGGGAGGTATGGAGCAAGTGGGAGCTGGGAGAGGGTAGGTCTTTTACCCCTTAGCCCAATAAACAGAATGCCGAACCCAGCCCCCAACGAAGGCTATCTAGGAAAAGGAGAGCACCCAAACTAACAAGATGAGTACTTAGACCTAGCACTAGATGACCCTAAATAACACAGACTGGTCCCATCTGGTTACCTTTCCTTCTGCCCCCTTCTCTCTATATCTACCTACCCCCTTTTCTTTATTTATTTTCGGTTAATATTATGGACTTTTGTATGTTGATTTTTATAATTCAACACTTTGCTTAAAGTAAACATTTCTTCCATAAGGCTTGTTAGAGTGTTAGAGAATGCTTTGAATTTGTCAATGTCAGGAGGACATCATCTGCATATAAAACATTATTTATATTGTTTATGATTTGTTGTAAAGCCTTAAAAATTTTTATTCTCTCTGATTTTCTTTGCTAACGGTTCAATTGATAAGACAGAGAATTGGAGAAAGTGGAGGATTGGAGAAAGTGGAGAATTGCCTACTGTCCATTGTTTAATGTGAACCAGTCTGGTAGAATAACATGTCTGACAGTTCTTGCTAGTGGGGAATAATACATAGACATAATTGCTTGATGCTTCCAGCCCTCTAGGCCAATTTTTTTTTTTTTTTTTTATGATTTACTCATAAATCTCCAGCTGACTTTGTTGAACGCTTTTTCAGCATCAATCGACAGAGTCAGCAGGGAAACACCTGATCCTTCTACTGAATCCATTACATCCATAAGTCTCCTTATGTTTGATCCTAAAAATCTATTTGGAATAAAACCAATTTGGTCTGGGTGAATCAGATTATTTAGAGTTGGTTTTAGCCTTTCTGCTAGGATTGGGCTATTTTTTTTTTTTTACTTCTTTATTAGTTTTTCATACACAAGCCATATATCCAGGACACAAGCCCTTCACAAGAAGACATAAGATATAAACAATAAAATGAAACATACAGCATTACATAAACAATATGTCACAAAACCTTACTTTCCTCCCACGGACCAGCGAGGTGTAGGCATGGCTTGTCTGCCACTGGCCGCTCCACGTATGCCCCCTCTTATGATGCCATAGCGGCTATGCCGCAAAAATTCAAAATATTCCATGCTCCCTGACATTTTGGGGTTGTGGATTTAAAGCAATAGATGCTCCACTATAAAGGGGCGCCTTTTGCTTTTGTTCCGTACCCTATTTTGGTTCACTGGTTGTTCCCTCTAGTGCTAGCTTTATTCTGTATGTGTATATTGGTATTTTGACTCAGCTTGTGTTTTTTGACTATTCTTCGTTCTGGTATCCTGATTCGGCTCGTTTTCTCATTCATCCTGTTTTCTGGTTCCCTTGCTCGGCTATTTCTTATCGTTATCCTGGCTATCCTCGACTATTCTATCTACATTAAACCCTTCCATTCTAAGGTCTGGTAATACGTTTTCATTTTGGGTTATACTCTGTGTGTTTGGGTGGCTTGTCATGACACAATACTTTACATAATACACTGCTGGGGGAATAGTTGGAAGGGACTCCTTTCTTTCCTCTTACTACCCTTATGTTGATGCACCACTTATGTTCAGGTTTGAATTCTTTCTCTCTCGATTGATTTAAGTCAATGCTCCCATATATCCTGTTTATTTAACTTCGTACCCTGTGAACTACATATAAGAACTTAATTGATATAGGACTTGTATCTTACAATGATCCAATGTAAAATGTGCAAAACTCTTCCAATTTCATGCCAATATTAATTTTACTGCAGCCATATAGTGTAAATAGATATATACTTCTTTTGATTGTACGCTATAAATTGTAGCAAGGCGTTTTCTGGAGATCTGGGAATTTGTTTTCCTATTAATCTACCTCAATGAAAACCTTTGACCATAACTCCTTCACCAACTCACACTCCCACCAAATATGTAAAAAGGAGCCATAATATTTATTGCATCTCCAACACATCGGAGATGTTGAGTTGTACATTTTAGCCATCCTAGCTGGTACCATATACCACCTGTTCAATAGCTTGAAGACCACTTCTATGGTATTTAGACAGTGAATATTTCTAAATGTTTGGGATAACACTTGACACCATCCTTCTCTTGAAATTTAGATTTTAAGATCTTTCTCCCATTTTTGAATTGCCAAATTAGTAGTCGGGACTTCTATTTTTAACAAACATTTTCTAGCTTTTTCTAGTCTTCTTTCAGATTAGAGGGAAACACAGCACCTACTGTAGCCTTTGCTCTAGTTGTTCTCACAGGGGAGGCATTCCCAGCTTTCAATGCTTTTTCGAATACTTCAAGATCCTGTTTGCATACAACCTGTTTTGCAGTCAGGTGGCAGAACTTTCTTGGCAAGGCAGGAAGTGGTGATGGTGCTTGCTTGAACAGAAGTGTACTCAGGAAGAGATACAGATGTTTCTGGAGCAGGAGGTGGAGATTCCTCAGGGGTACTGGTTGCAGGTTCTTGAGGGACACTGGTAACATTGAATGTAGTAGTTTTGGGTACCCTTTTGTGTCACAGAACGGGGACAGGGATGGCAGTTTCTAGGCTGTCTTGCCAGGATGACAGGACAGGTACAGAAAGTACCTACTTGAACAGTTTTAGGCAGAGGCGGGCAAGTGGGGCAGAGGGAGATAAAGTGGCCTCTTTCTCCACAGTAGAAACACAGGCTCTTTCCTTTGGAGGCAACCTAGGTCGGATGAATCCAATCTCCATGGGTTCCTCCCTGTCCACTGGAGTTTCAGGGCTTACTGGAGTATAGTCATGGTAACAAGACAGATCTCTGGAGGTAGTTTCAAGCTGCAACAGGACGGGGTGTTTGTATGCGTATGTGAAGTCGTTTTCTCTAGGTACCTTCAATCTGCGGGAACCTGGAGCAGACTTGGAAGTTGCTTTCTTAGAGGCAAAGCACTGAGAGTCCATTGCAGACATGAAGGAGTCCCAAATGACAAGGACAGCATTCTTAGACTGCAGCATTTGGTGTGCCCTGTCAGGATTACAGAATGATCCAGCACGTAGAATTGTGTAACACAGAGGACTGATAGGTACCAAAGAATAGTAAGGAATAGCTGAGGTCAAGGGATACAGAAAGAGAGACAACGATAAGGAAAAGCCAGGAGTCAGGGATGCCAGAAAACAGGGAAGTCAAAATCAATGCCAAAGTCAAATAACCAGAATAACCAAAATCAATAAAGCGCTCTCGGACAACCACAAGGGAAACCACGACAGGGCGCTGAGCAGGATGAGAACTGAGCCTAAATACCCCTTCTCTAGATCTGAAAGGCTGTAACCGGCCTTTGACCCCAAAAGCAGTTACCAGGTTCCCATTTGCATAATTGCTGCTTAGCATTAACCCTTCTGTGGATTTGGTTGCTGCTCGGCACAACTTTTCATGTGTGGACAGTAAATGCCATTAACCACATTTTTAAAAGCGGATGAATACGTGACATGCCCATGTTTTCATCTTTCCAGACAGCAGGTTGATAGCTGCTTGGACCCTTACGAAGTCGTTAGCATACATCCGAGGCTTCAGGGTGAACAACATTTCACAGTCTACCTTAAAGCATAGGAAGGATGCACGGCAACCGTCAAATCTTTCTGGCATAACAACAAACAGTTCTGAATAAACAGGTTCCGGGGCTGGGCGTACTGTGCCTTTAAGAAATAGAACTTCTCACTGCAACTCCGAAACAGTCTGGGCCAGGCTGGACACTTGCTGGGTAAGCAATCTGAACATCTCTGTGGACTCCATGATGGTCAGTTCATTCTATCACAGCTTACCTTAATTGGGAGTCTGTAGCGCAGATATATGCTCATCCTTGCAATTAAACACAGGCCAAGGTGATCAGGTAAGAACTCACCTGTACTGTGAGTCTGTGCACGAGGGCTGTGCAGGATGATGCACCAAGTTGCAGTACAGATATGGACATAAACAGGAGAATCGTCGTGGGTAAGCCAAAGGTCAGTGGGTGCCAGAAATCAGGATAAACGAGAAGAGAGCCGAGGTCAGAGGATGCCATAAGTCATGATACACGAAATAACAAGCCAAGGTCAGAAATCAACAGGAGAACACTGAAACATGAAACAGCAATACGAGAACCAGAGTCAATGAACTGACACTGCCCTCAGGGAGAGGCAGTGTCTTATACCTGGCTAATTGGTGATCAGCCCCAGGTGAACTATGAGTGACAGGAGCAGTCTCAGATACCGTCCATCCCCCAGTGCTGGATACAAGACAAGATTAGATTTCAGTCAATTACTAGGACTGCAAAGTACGCAGGTTCAAATCCCTCATTGAGCACTTCTGGGGTGACCTCGTCTGGATGTCGCGGTGAGTATGTTCATGGAAATAAACCCTACCCAACCAGCGAAAGTGGGGTTTGTCCCATTTGTGTAGATCAGATTGTATTGCGTGGATTAATTGGGGGAAGTTTGACTGGTATAATTCTGTTTCACTGAT